CTGGTCCTCAGATCTCTAATCATGGCAAACCAGAAGTGGCACCCTCTATTCTCGTCAGAAAGAGAGAAGGGAGGTGGGTCTGAGCGTATCTGCTCCCCTATCCTCCCTAATCAAAAAGAGGGTATAAAGAGAATTTTAGAAGGGGAAAAGTCCTGTAGAGTTCCTTGGTAAAAAAGGTCAGTGATCAAAAATGAAAAGAAATCCTCAGGGGAAGAGGATAAAAACCAGTTAATATTATGAAGAAAAGTCGAGACAAACAACTCAAATTCACAGGACAAACAAAAAGGACCCATAGATATCCCAGGATAATTAACACAATTTCAAACGGGTTTCACTCCAGGGACCGCCAGTGGCTCCCACTAACGCCTCAGGGGAGCTGGCGGCAGGGAGGTCAGGCTGTGTTCCACAGTCCACCTCTGCACGGGTACCTAGACAAATGAGGTGAGGTGACTTACCTCCACAAAGGCAGACAGACTCCTGGGATGCAGAGATGGGGACTGATGTCTCCTGCTCAGGTGACAAAACCTCCCTTGGAGTCCTCCGGGGGCCCTGGAACGTCTCGAGGGTTGCTTCTCTTAGAGGCTCTGTGGAAACTGACACCTGGGAAGGACAGGCCAGCTGTCCCCAGGTGTCCAACCCAAGAAGGGTCTCCCAAGTGCCCTACGCATGATCTTGCTAGGGCCTCCAAAATGTTGTATCCCAAGCAATGAGAAAAAAAAGGATGCCACAATTAATAAGACAAATTATAGGAGTCTTTAATGCAAAAGCCAAAGACTACACAGGCGCATAGACTTCTTAAATCATGCAGCCATGAGACAGCTCAGATTCATTTATTTACTTACTTACTTATTTATTTAGTCAGTTGTGGGGTCTCAACTCTGGGCCTGGGCACTGTCCTTTAACTCTTCAGCTCAAGGCTAGCACTCTACCTCTTGAGCCACAGTACCACTTCCGGCTTTTTCTGTTTATGGAGTGCTGAAGAATGGAACCCAGGGCCTCATGCATATAAAGCAAGCACCCTACCACTGAGCCACCTTCCCAGCCCCCTCAGTCTTTTATTTTCATTTATTTATTTGTTTGTTTATTTAGTCAGTCCTGGGGCTTGAACTCAGGGCTTGGGCACTATCCCTCTTTTGCTTGAGGCTAGCACTCTACCACTTGAGCCACAGCACCACTTCTGGCTTCTTCGGTGTATGTGGTACTGAGGAATCAAACCCAGGGCTTCATGTATGCTAGGCAAGCACTCTACCACTAAGCCACATTTCTGGCTGAGAGTCATTCTTTTTTGTTTGTTTGTTTTTTTGGGGTCCGGTCATGGGGCCTGAACTCTAGGCCTGGGCGCTGTCCCTCAGCTCTTCAGCTCAAGGCTAGCACTCTACCACTTGAGCCACAGCGCCACTTCTGGCTTTTTTTCTTTTTGCTTATGTGGTGCTGAGGAATCGAACCCAGGGCCTCATGCATGCAAGGCAAGCGCTCTACCACTGAGCCACCTTCCCAGCCCTGAGAGTCATTCTTGTAAAGGCAAAAGCCACATCCTCTTCAGAAAACCATAATGCATAGGGGTTTTTTGTTTGGCAAAGTATACACAGAAGTGAAAATGAGTGGGCTAGGAATGTGGCTTAGTGGTAGAGTGCTTGCCTAGCATGCATGAAGCCCTGTATTCGTTCGATTCCTCAGTTCCACATAAACAAAAAACTGATAGTGGTGTTCAAGTGGTAGCTAGCTTTGAGCAAGAGAAGCTTAGGGACAGTGCCCAGGCCGTGAATTCAAGCCTCTGAACTGGCCAAAAAAAAAAGTGATGAAAATGAGCATTATGATAAACCTAGACTTATGTCCCAGAATACTGGGCAGATGAAACTCTGTTTGTTTGTTTATTTATTTTGCAGAAACTGCTGAGCAAATAACTTGTGGTTTTTCGCAGAACCTGCTAAGCAAATAACATATTGGGTCGGGGGCCTTTCTCCTTGGGAGACAAAATGGTGTCACTTCCGTCAGGCTTCAGGTTTAAAGACATAACCCGCTTCAGGGGGTGTGGGATGTACGGAATATGGGAAACAGCACAGCCTGCCAGGGATGGGACCGTCGGCCAGACAGACCCAGGCTTGCGCAGAGATCCAAACTGGGTTCAGTGAGTGTGTCAGAAGGAGCTTGTTGAGGATTAAGAAATGAAGAGTAAAATCAGTGCCATCGTGAGGATATTTAGGACTCCAGCCAGCACAGCACGCACTCCATGTGCGCGAGCATCCTGAGGTATGCAGAATGCCAAGAGAGGGACCCTAGCCCTTAGTCATTTAGAGGAAATGCTCACCAGGGACCTTGGAAATGACATATTCCTGGCCTAGGATGGAGTGTCTTCCTGTGACTAGCCACTGATTCTTCATTCGGGATGTCTGAACTGGAGCGGAAGAGATAGCAGCCAATTGCTTATTCCTTCCACGAACAGTTGTCAAGCGGGCAGAACCTGTCTGTCTGTTGGGAGTGGGGTGGGTGAGTTTCAGATCAGTGATGACAAGAACATTGGTGCAGTAGCCCTGGGAAGAGTGGAATGAGCTGTCTCATTAGATGAAAAACAGATATAGATGCATCTGGGCAAACGTCTGCTGAAATGTTGATGAGATTCCTTTTAGGAGGCCTGTCCTCTTGGAGTCTCTTCCCTCCCAAAATCTCCCTCCCAAGGCTGGGGAAGTGAGCATGGTAGGGGGACTTTGCCCAGCTGCTGAGGATTCTGGGTAGGTGGTGGAGGGGGCTGGCATGGGGGAGCAGTCATCTGAAACTTCAGAGCAAAACCCCAAACGTTAGAGGAGCAAAGGCTAGCCTTTACAAGGAATGCCAGGAACAAGCTCAAAGCTAAAGTCACCAGTGGAAAGCAAGGTCAGGGCTCACCTGGAAGCTAGACTGGGAGCTGTTGCCAAAGCCAGCCCGATTGCCCTTGGCTGCCTGGTGAGGCAGAGAGCCAGGAATCAAATCAAGCCAGGGCCTAAAGGCCCCGCCAGTGGCTCACAGGAATTCTGTGGCCTATTTTTTTTTTGGGTCCGGTCGTGGGGCCTGAAACTCTGGGCCTGGGCACTGTCCCTCAGCTCTTCAGCTCAAGGCTAGCACTCTACCACTTGAGCCACAGCGCCACTTCCGGCTTTTTTTTTTCTGCTTATGTGGTGCTGAGGAATCGAACCCTGGGTCTCATGCATGCAAGGCAAGCGCTCTACCACTGAGCCACCTTCCCAGCCCCCTATTTTTTTTTTTAATGAGATTCTATAGCTTAAATTTGAAGGCAATTCTAGAAGGTTTCGGAGTATTTTGCACAGGTACTTGGGATATTTAAAGATGAATTCTTAGAGACTAACACGCTTCAATGCTAACAGTTTTGAAAATTTATCAATTTCAGTAAGATCATTTTATATTTGTTTACCAGTCACAAACAGTTGTTTGTGGAAAAGGTGGTGACAGACAGTATTCAATACTTAAAAGTATTAATAGAAATGTTTTAATTACAAATAAGGAAAACAGAACAAGGCTTAAGTAAGTATTTCCTGTCCTAGAAGTCAGTGACAGAACTCATTCTGTTAATGTTTATTTTTGTTATTGGCTTACATCAGTTGTTAAAGGGTGGGAATTTTACTGTTCTATCTCCATGTTAAGTTGTATTCCAATCAATTTATCTTGTTAATATTTAAAATATGGTTGAAAACATTTAAATTTTATGGTTCTGGACTCCAAGCAAAAGACTAAATAAAAACACAATCGGTATCCCAGTAGTTTTCTTTTCTTTTTTTGTCGGTCGTGGGGCTTGAACTCTGGGTTTGGGCGCTATCCCTCAGCTCTTCAGCTCAAGCAAGTGCTCTACCACTTGAGCCACAGCTCTACTTCCAGTTTTCTAGTGGTTTATTGGAGATAAGAGTCTCATGGACTTTCCTGCTCGGGCTGGCTTTGAACCGTGATCCTCAGATCTCAGCTTCCTGAGTAGCTAGGATTACAGGCGTGAGCCACTGGCACCTGGCTCCCAGTAGTTTTTTTTTTTTTTTTCCTTTTGCTTTTGTTTTTGTGCTGATAGTGGAGTTGGAACTCAGGGTCTGGGTTCTGTCCCTTAGCTTTTTCACTCAAAATTGGCACTCCATTTCTGGCTTTTTGTGGTTAATTGGAGGTTGGCTTCGAATCTGGATTCTCAGCTTCCTGAGTTGCTAGTGTTGCAGGTGTGAACTATAAACCCCTGGCTTAAATAGTTTCTTGGTTTAGTTTTTCCTGGCTTTTTTGCTTACTTGTTTTTGTTTTGTGTGCTGGTCCAGCTTCTTTTGTTCAACAATAGTGCTCTTCCACCTGAGCCACAGCTCTACTTCTGGCTTTTTTGGTAGTTTAGTGGAGATTTCCTGCCTAGGTAGCTTCAAACCATGATCCTCATATCTCAGCCTCCTGAGTAGCTAGGATTATAAATGTGAGCACTGGCTCCCAACTTTTTTTTTTGGTAGGTCGTGGACCTAGAACTTGGGGCCTGGGCACTGTCTCTGAGGTCTTTTGCTCAAGGCTAGTGTTCTACCATTTCAGCTACAGCACCACTTCTGATTTCTTGGTAAATTGGAGATAAGAGTCTCACTGCCTGGTGCTGGTGGCTCACGCCTGTAATCCTAGCTACTCAGCTAAGGTTCAAGACCAACCCGGGCAGGAAAGTCCGTGAGACTATCTCCAATAAGTGGTGCTGTGGCTCAAGCAGTAGAATGCTCACCTTGAGCTGAAGAATACAGGGACAGCGCCCAAGCCCAGAGTTCAAGCTCCATGACTGAGGAAAAAAAGAGTCTTACTGACTTTCCTGCCCAGGCTGGCTTTGAACCATGGTCCTCAGGTTCAGCCTCCTGAGTAGCTAGGATTAAAGCTAGCTGGTGCCTAGCTTTTAAATGGTATTCTAAGTGGCGGTCAACCTGTGCCTGGACCCAGAGGATTCTGGACACTATCTTTGCTGAGTGAAACTTTCTATGTCATGGAAACACTGACAGTTGTTCTCTTTCTTCTAGGAAATTATGCAAATATTCTCACTATGTTCTCTCGGAGGACAACTTTATAGTCCTGAAAAAGTACGAGCTCTCTGGGCTTAACCAAGAGGAACTAGCCGTACTCCTGGTCCAGAGTGACCCCTTTTTTATACCTGAGGTAAGTGGTGGCTTCCCAGTTGAGCTGACAGGAGAGTACTGTGTTGGAGAAGGCACAGAAAAACCTCAACGGCAGCACCGGGCTCCGAAGGCGGCAGTCAAGGCTTTGCGGAGATGTCTGGGATGTGATCCCCTCTGCCAGGCTGCCAGGAACCCAGTGTTAGCAAAGAGGAGCTAAAGACATAATGGCAGAAATAACTGTATTACTTCAGGGTGATTTCCTGGAGGAGGTGGCCTTAGAAATGATGTTGAAAAGAGAGGTTGGAAAGGTGAGAATACAGATTGGGTGTTGTATAATAGGCTCCTCTACCCTAAATAGAGTGATTCAAATGAAATCTATGCATTTATTTCTTACTTAGTAGTTTAGACCAGAGGTCAGCAACCTATAATGCACAGGCCAAGTCTGCCCTGCCATCTGATTGTATAAATGAAGGTTATTAAAACACAACTACATCTTTTTACATATTGTAACCTACTCGGGCAAGTTAAGTAGTTGTAACAAAGGCCAAATTCCTTGCAAAGCATACAGTATTTTGCTTTATTATTTTTTTTTTTTTTTTGTCGGTCGTGGGGCTTGAACTCTGGGCTTGGGCGCTGTCCCTCAGCTCTTCAGCTCAAGGCGAGCATTCTACCACTTGAGCTACAGCGCCACTTTCGGTTTTCTGGTGGTTTATTGGAGATAAGAGTCTCACGGTCTCTCCTGCCCGGGCTGGCTTTGAACCGGGATCCTCAGATCTCAGCCTCCTGAGTAGCTAGGATTACAGGCGTGAGCTTATTTTTTTTTGTGCCAGTCCTGGGGCTTTAACTCAGGACCTGGATGCTGTCCCTGAGCTTCTTTTTGCTCAAGGCTAGACTCTACCACTTGAGCCACAGTATCACTTCTGGCTTTTTCTGTGTATGTGGTACTGAGGAATCAAACCCAGGGCTTCATGCATGCTAGGCAAACACTCCACCACTAAGCCACATTCCCAGCCCAAGCCTACAGAATTTACTGTCTAATCCATTACAGAAAAGTCGGCCAACTCCTGTTTTACCTGGGTAAGGGCAGGCAGGTAGGCTGTGTGGTCAGGCAGGTAAACCCTACAATTTCATCCAGGACTCGGGCCATTATGTCCTCTCTGTTACCTCTAAAATATGTCTTCCTTCTCTAGGTACAAGTTGTTCTCATTTGTCACCATTTTCTAGGCAGCAGAAATGTAAAGAGGAAGTTATTAAAATGCATGCAGTTTCCTTTTAAGATGTGACCTGGGCGAGTGAGGTGGCTCATGCCTGTAATCTATTTGGGAGGCCAAGATGTGGAAGCTTAAGGTTTCAGGCCAGCCTGGGCATGAGACTATCTGAGACTCCATCTCAACAGGAGACATGGTGATTCATGCCTGCCATCCTAGCTACAAACAGAAGCAGAAAATAGGTCAACTGCAGTACAGATGTGGGCCCAGACAAAAAATGAGACCTGATCTCTAAAGAACTAGTGATAAAAGGATGTGAGGCATACATAACTCAGCAATAAAGAGCCCAGCAAGGCTGGAAATCTTGTTCACATCCCAGAACCACCCAAAAATAAATAAATAAAAACAAAAGGCGACATGAACATTGCATATCTGGTCACATCCCATTGTTCAGGGTTTAACACATGGCCTATGTTAGCCGAAAGGGAGCTTGGGAAATGTGGTTTCTTGCTTGCTGCCAATTTGTCTACCTAAACCTGGGAACTTCTATTACTAGAAGAAAGATGGGGACAACCATAGATAATTACTATTTGTTTGTTTATTGTGCTGGGCTTGGACTCAGGGGCTTCTCACTCCCAGCTTTTTTTTTCTCAAGGCTGATGCTCTACCACTTGAGCCACACCTCCACTTACAGCTTTTTGCTGGGTAGAGATGAGTGTCACAGATCTGCTTGCCCAGGCTGGCTTTGAACTGGGATCCTAGGATCTCAGTCTGTTGCACAACTGGGATCATAGGCATGTGCCACCAACACCTGGCAGTGGTGGCTGATTAAATTTCCTCTACGATAGACATGCAGACTTCAGGATTAGAGGATGCATGCAAAGCATGGTATCTGGCTTGAGAGAAATCCTTCAGTAGAGAAGTTTGTCTTACTCTGAAAGAGAGGTCCAGCATAGAATTCAGAAGCACTACCCCATGTGGGAAGGAAGCTATTGAGGACTTCTTGAGAATTAAGCACATATTTACTCAGCTCAATGCATTTCCCTCATGACCTAAAAACTGAGAGATGCAGGAGGCTGAGATCTGAGGATCATGGTTAGAAGCCAGCTTGGGCAGGAAAGTCCATGAGACTCATGTCCAATTGAAAAAAAAAAAAGCTGGAAGTGGAGTTGTAGCTCAAGTGATGGAGATCCTGAGTTCAATCTCTAGTATTACAACACAAAAAACTTGCATGGATGGGAGAGGAAAAATGAGGGAGAACAGGGTTGATACTGAACAAGAAGCATGGTACCACTAACTTGACTTAAGGAATTGTGATCCCTTCATGCAACTACTTAATAATAACAATTAGAAAAATAACTTTAAACACACACACACACCACACACCACAGAGTTGAGAGATGATTTTCAGTTGGGCACTGAGCTCAGGATAGATATATCATACATCCTGTAAGAATCTATTAGGGAGCAGGGTGCTGGTGGCTCATACCTAGCTACTTAGGGAGGCTGAGATCTGAGAATTATGGTTCAAAGTCAGCCCAGGCAGGAAGGTCTATGAGATTCTGATCTCCAATAAACTACTCAGAAAAAGCCAGAAGTGGTGCTGTGACTCAAGTGGTAGAGCGCTAGCCTTGAGCACAAAGAGATTCAGGGATAGCACCCAAGCCCTGAGTTCAAGCCCTAGGATTGGCCAAAAAAAAAAAAAAGAATCTATTAGGGGACTATACCCCTTTTCCTGTATAATTGTAGCACCCATGTTTAGTGAGTAGGGTGGAAAGTACTTGTCTGAAGCTTGCTTTGAGTTTGAGCTAATAATGAAATTTCCACTTGCCTATGGTCAGGATGGAGATCCCAGGCTGGGAAAGTCATCATTTCCTGAAGGAGGTGTGAACAGCTGGTCCCTGTGGTTATCTAGCTAACTATTGTATGCTTAGCCTAAGATCCCATTTGAAAATGATGGGCAAAAGATCTAACCCTAACCCTAATCCTAACCGAAGCTTTGAAGCCTCAAGCTCTCAAGCCATAATTGACCAAAAACAACAACAACAAAAGCCCCAAAAGAGCCAAGCACTGGTGGCTCCCTCCTGTAATACTAGCTACTCAGGAGGCTGAGATCTGAGGATTGAAGTTCAAAGCCAGCCCGGGCAGGAAAGTCTATGAGACTCTTATCTCCAATAAACCACCAGAAAACAGGAAGTAGTGCAGTGGCTCAAGTGGTAGAGTGCTAGCCTTGAGCTGAAGAGGTGAGGGACAGCGTTCAGGCCCAGAGTTCAAGCCCCATGACTGACAACAAAACAAAACAAAAAAAAAAACAAAAAATTTCTTTTAATTAAAAAAATGTATTTTAGTTAAAAAGAACATTTGTGTTTTAATTTTAAACTTCTTTTAATAATTTGAGAAACTTTAATGTTATGCCCAGCAGAGACCAGATTTTTAATTCCGCAACAGTTACACAGGTAAAACATATATCCTAATGTCCATCAGGGGCTTGAACTCAAGGCTTGATCTTGCTGGGCTTTCTTTCTCACAGCTGATACTATATCACTTGAGCCATGCCTCTATCGTAACCTTGTCTTTTTTTTTTTTTGCCAGTCCTGGGGCTTGAACTGGGGCCTGGGCACTGTCCCTGTGCTCAAAGCTAGCACTCTATCACTTGAACCACAGTGTCACTTCTGGCTTTTTCTGAGTAGTTTATTAAAGAGTCTCACAGACTTTCCTGACCTTGCTTGGCTGGCTTCAGCCTCCTTAGTAGCTAGGATTAAAGGCGTAATCCACTGGCACCTGGCTCTATCCCAGCTTTTTGCTGGTTAATTAGAGATGGAGGCTTGAGGGCTTTTCTGCCCAGGTTGGCTTCAAACAGTGATTCTTCAGATTTCACCCTCCTGAGTAGCTAGAATTACAGGTGAAAGTCACTGGTGCTCAGCACATATATGTCCTTGTAAGTATAAAGTTGATATTCAAAGCTAGACTTTCATCTTTAGGCTTCTTTATAATGTGGGGCTCACTTTGGGTCTTGTTTATAGCTGGTCATCTGAATTTGATTTTCCCAAGAGTTATTCTATAAGTTTTTATTGTGAAAATACTGTACAGAGGAGTTACAGTTAGATGAGCAAGGTAATAAGTACATTTCTTATCAAGCATTGTTGCCTCCTTTGTTTTTCCCTTACCATTCCTTCCCTCCCACCTCCACAACTACACTCCCCCCTTTTCCCCTTCCCTTTCTTTCCCTTCCCTTCTCCTCCTCCTCCTCCTTCTCTTCTTCTTTTTCTTCTTCTTCTTCTTCCTCCTCCTCCTCCTCTTCCTCCTCTTCCTCTTTCTCCCCTTCCCCTTCCTCCTCTTCCTCCTTCTCTTCCTCCTCCTCCTTCCCCTCCTTCTTGTTGGTCATGGGGCTTGAACAGTTCCTGAGCTCTTTTGCTCAAGGTTAATGCTCTACCACTTTGAGCTACAGCTCCACTTCTGGTTTTCTGGTGGTTTATTGGAGATGAGTCTCACAGACTTTCCTGCTCAGACTGGCTTTGAACCCCAACTCTCAGATCTCAGCCTCCTGAGTAGCTAGGATTACAGGTGTGTCTTCAGCACCCAGCTTCTTTCTCTCTTCTTAACTTTATTGAGACAAGGTTTCAATATACAGCCCAAGCGGCCTAAGACTCACCACGCAATCTCAGATTCTCAGTCCCTTATCTTAGTCTCCTGAGTATTGGGGTTACAAGTATCTGCCACCATATCTGGCACCACTGTCCCTTAATTAGTCTGCAGGTCTTGAGTTCTGACTCAAATAAGTCATCACTTTAATGCATCTCATTGAAGACTGTGGAAAGTGTGTGCTGGTAGTCTGTAATCCTAGCTACTCAGGAAGCTATGATCTGAGGATTGAAGTTCAAAGCCAGCCTGGGCAGGAATGTCTGAGATTATCATTTCCAATTAACCACCGGAAAAAAAAAGCCAGAAGTGGAGATGTGGCTAAAGTGGTAGAGCACCAGCCTAAGGGACAGGACCTAGTCCCTGAGTTCAAGTCTCAATACCAGCACCAAAAACAAAAAAGAGAAAAAAAAGTGAAATCACATATCCTCACCCTTTGCCTGCCCTTTGGTCTTTACACGCTTCAGAAATGTCTCTGCATTGAGCCTTCCTGACAGTGTGTGGCAGGTACAAAGAAATGTTTTGTCTCAGGCAAGGAGTGTTGTGTCTTTCTTCTGTAGATCTGCAAAGAGTACAAAGGAGAGGGACGCAAACCGACGTGCAGCGAGCATGCAGCGTGTGAGAGGCTGCACATCTGTGAGCACTTCACCCGCGGGAACTGCAAGTACCTCAACTGCAACAGGTCCCACAACCTGATGGACAGAAAGGCGCTCGCCATCATGAGGGAGCACGGCCTGAGCCCAGAGGTGGTTCAGAACATCCAGGACATCTGCAACAACAAGCACGCTCGCAGGAACCCGCCCCGCTCCAGAGGTACGCGCCCAGCCTTGGATAAACCCACGAGCCGTCACAGAAACAGGCTCAGCGGAATCAGCCCCATGACATTAGCTCACACCTATAATCCTAGTGTTGGAAACACGTGACCTTCTTGTGTCAAAAAATGAATACAGACACAAGAGATATAGGAGATATTGTTTAGGCAATTTACCTCTCTCCAGAGCTAGATAGGCATACCAGGCAGGGTGGTCTGCTTGGTTTTTATCCTAACCCAAAAGGTGACATTGTCCCTTCTTCTTAAGGAGTCAAGTTTATGATTGGAGGAGGTTGGTAAAGTCTGGAAAGTTCCCACTCAAGGGAGAGTAGTCTTTAACTCTATGGGTAAAGACTCATACTCTTAACATGGCTGGGTGGTCACAAACAACACAGATGATAGTTATAATTGAAGTCAAGAAGCAAATAATTCCAGGAAATATCAGTATGTATTTGTGACTGGTTACAAGTTGGAGGCATTTCGGCTTGACAGAAAAGATGGCTTTTTCTCACACTAGCTACTCAGGAGATTGAGATCTGAGGACTCCATACCAAACCAACCCAGGCAGGAAGGTCACTGAGACTCTTTATTTCCAATTAATCAACCCAAAAGCTGAATTTGGAACTGTGGCTCAAGTGATAGAGTGCCACTCTTAGGAAAATGCCCAGGCTCTGAGTCAAACCCCAGTAAAATATTCTAGGAATTGAAAGTACCACCTCTGTAATTTCTGGGATCTGTATACATTCAATTTTCTACATTTTCCCTTCCCAAACTTTGTCCGTATGAATGCGCTGTTTAATCTAATTGCAATCAGCATATATGTGAGTTTGCAATTTGATATTTTTTGCTTGGCAGTGTTTCCTTCAGGTTAGAAAAATGTTTCAGATTTTTCCAAGGTTAACTATTAAAGCTGTGTTCTCTCTCTCTCTCTCTCTCTCTCTCTCTGTCCCTCTCTTTCTCTCTCTCTCTTTTGGTCAGAGGGCTTGAGCCTCCTGAATAGCTAGGATTATAGGTGTGAGCCATAGGATTATAGGTGTGAGCTACCAGCACCCAGCTTTGTTTTTCTTCTCAACAGAAGGAAATACATTGGGTGTGTGCATGGTGTGTGGGTGCATGGACACACACACATGCTAGTACTGAGGCATGAATGTAGAGCCTGGGTGTTTACTGCTCCTTAGCTTTTTCATTCAGGGCAGGCACTCTACTACTTAAGCCACTCCTCCACGTCTAGCCTTTTGCTGGTTAATTGGAGATGAAAGTCTTGGCTTTGTCTGTCTGAGCTGGCTTCAAACGTCAGCCCTCAGATCTCAATCTCCTGTGTAGCTAGGAGTACAGGCATGAGCTAGTGGTACCTGGCAGAACAGATAACAGCACTTGGAAAGCAAGGCTGGAAAAGCAGAGGAGTCGCAGTGGTAGAAATTGAATGATGTGAGCTCTTCATTTTCATTATTTGTTTATTTTGTTTTCCTCTTCCCAGCTCCCTTGAATCATAGAGCCCCACCGGCATCACGAGGTCGAAGCAAAAGTAGAGACCGATTTTTTCAGTCCAGCCAAGAATTCATTTCAACTGCTTATAAGCCCTGCACACCCAGCCTGGGTGCCATGGGTTTTTCGCCTTCTCTCGAGGATGGTATTAATAATCTTGAGGAGGAGTTCAGCTGTCTGGGGCGTGAGGATCTGGCTCAGTCTTCCTCAGCCTCAGCTAAGGTTGCCAGTCTAGGAGGAGCACCTCAAGCAGGAGGAAGCCAGAGAGCATCAAAGGATAACGGTCCCGACAGCTTCTTTTACAGGAATCATTCCGATTCAACATCCAGCCAGGCTGTTTCTAGCTCTCTCCTTGGTTTTACAAAAACACCTGAAGCCATAACCTCCAACAAGAGCCTGGGGAATGTTTCATCAGATCATGTCAAAGGCAAGAGTGGAACTCAAGACATCCAGCAAGTCCTTCTTAAAAATAAGGCCAACGGAGTGGCTGCAGATCTAACTTCTCTAAGATCTGTCAGTTACAGAGCCGCTGCCATCAATGATCAAAGAGAAGTAACCTTGTCTGGGAACCATCTGAACAATGGAAGTACTTTCTGGGATCTCCAGACCACTGGCAAAAAGACTGGTGATGATAATGACCCAGAATTGACATTTTTGAATGGTAAATATGGAGCTACATATAAACACACCGAAGAACCGACTCACTCACATTATGAAGTTACTAATGCAGATCAATTTTGTGTCACAGGTTTGGGCTTAAAAACAGCAGTCACTGGAGAAAAAGATGCATTCTATTTGAGAAGTAAGGGTCCACGAAGCCAGGTCCCAGCCACCCCTGGGGAAGCCACTGCTTCTGCAGGAGTCAGCATGCTGCCCCAATCACCTCCACCTTCCTCTGTCAGAATTGGAGACTATGGGGCCCAAGGCTCCGCCCACACTCCTATGAACACCAATGAGCTCTCAAGAAGGTCTACAGGTTCTGCCCAGAGTAAGTCCCCGAAAGAGGGATTCCCAAGTGTTGCCTCTATAGCAGAGGAGTGAGTGTGTGTGTGTGTGTGTGCGCGCGTGCGTGTGTGTGTGTGTGTGTGTGTGTGTGTGTGTGTGTGTGTGGTTGGGGGAGGAGTGTTGGACCAGATGGCAGTTTCTTTAATCAGGCTAGAGTTAGAGGCTCATGGATAAAGGATGGTGGTGGGGAAGGGACCAAAGTATAAGGACAGAGAAGTACCAAACCATGGAACCACATAGAAGATATGGCTGGCTGCATTTACTAGAATTCAGATGAGCACAATCATAGTGTAAGACATCTGGACCCAGGGTCCATGTTTTGTTCTATGGAATGGCTATCTAGCAGTGTGAATCCCACATCTTTTCTTGAACATGGTCCCAATTTTGGAGGAACTCTAGGGAGCTCTCAAGTTGAGCTATGAGACCACAAAAGAGTTAAGAGGTTGGAAGGCTGCCTCATCACTACACTGAAGGCTGAGAACTGGACCCTGGAAAGGTTGAAACAGATAAAGTAGGATATTGTCTAAGTTATGTCTAAGTTGCAGTCTTTTCCCCAAAGCAGTAAGGGAGCCAGTTATTCATTATGCGCCCAGACTCTGGGTTCATCTCCATGATTGTAATAACAAAATAGATGGACGTCTTATTTTCTGCATGTGCCTATGGTTACCTTCCCTGTACTAAACTAAATAAATAGGCTTGCTTATGGGAATTGAATGAGCCTTGAACCTTGAGCTCTGGTCCCTGGATGCTCTACTCTCTCTGTTCTCATTTCTTCTGTTCCAGTATCCTGTTGTGTTGTTCCAGGTTGCGGGAAGCAACAGGAAACCATTGTTTTTCATGGTGAGACCAGGTTACCTTATTAAAAAAATTTTTTTTAATGTGAAACACTTATGCTCTTGTTTTACAGATTCCATGTCTAGGATCTCAAGTATCACATCTACAATGAATAATGCTGGCCCAAAGGAAATTTGTCTAGACCATCTGTATATGGGTTGTAAAGTGAATGGTAAGTGACAGAACTTCTGCTATGAGCACAGGTGACATTTCCTGTCACTTCTTTTAGGGAAATACCCAGAGATGGAATTGGTAATTAGATATTTAATTGTGGGCAAACCATTTTCCGTAGTGGATGGGTCACTCTTCATCCTCACCTGCAGTATACAAGGTTGCACATTTCTCCACATGCTTCCTAGCTCCAAGGAGATAAGTAAGACACATCTCTGTTTCTGTCCCTGAGATGGGAAGCCATTTCCAGAGAGGATAAACATGGGAGGAAAGGCCGTCCATAGGCTGGGGCCCAGATGGAATGAAAGGAGAAAGCTACTTACACAGGCATATATTCTCTCTGTCTCTGTCTCTGTCTCTCAATCTGTCTCTGTCTCTTTCTCTCTCTCTCTTTCTAACCTTCTCCTTACTTGTCCCTTTTCTTCCCTGCTCCTTTCTTTCTCTCCTGTCCCCTCCTTTCCTCCCTTTCCTTTCCTCTTTCCTTATCTTCTCCCTCTTCCCTTTCTCCCCACTTTCTTTCTCTTTGGTAGGGATGGGTACTTAACTTATTTCTTTATCAGCCTCTGCTTAAACTGCCAGTCTGGGGCTTTCCCTGTAGTACCTTTTTGTGTTAAAGCAGTCACATACCTTTTGAACATTTCAAAGCAATGTAAGCTTAACAGGACAGGGGAAACAAAACACACCCAAACAGTTATTTTCCATATTCCTGTGTCAGGGGCCTCTAACATCTACCTCATTTTTGAGTTTCATTTGATAGCCATTCCCCACCCCCACCCCCCATGGCCACCCATGCTGCTCACACAAAGGGGAAAAAGCTAAGCAATGATGCAATCTTCTTCCTAAGGTTTCTGATTAGAGTGAGGCTTCACATCACCCAGCAGTAAACAGAGCTGCATCCAGTTGGGCGCCAGTGGCTCAAGCCTGTAATCCTAGCTACTCAGGAGGCTGAGATCTGAGGCTCGCAGTTCAACATCAGCCCAGGCAGGAAAGTCCGTGGGCCTCTTATCTCCAATAAACCACTCAGAAAACCGGAAGTGGTGTTGTGGCCATGTAGCCACAGAAGGGAAAGGTTGGCAGAGCGTGGAGAGCCAGCGGTGAAACTCGGTTGAATTTTGTCTACACCTGTAGACCTCCTGTCTCTCTTTCTAGGCAACTGCAACAAAATACACTTTCACCTGCCCTACCAGTGGCAGATTCTGATTTCCAACACCTGGAGGGACTTGCCGGCCATGGAGCAGATCGAGGAGGCCTACTGTGACCCTCAGAAGCACAAGTAAGTTCGTGACTGGCCTCTGGCTTAGGAAATTCAAGCATAGTGCTAGGCTTATGGTACATGGAGCCTGGCTAATGCCAGGAAATGCTGGCAATTTTGCTAAGGCAAATGAAATGGACAGTGATATGATTATGCATTCAGTTGATACCAGCTGTACGTCCTGCAGAAAAACACAGGACAGAGGGCATTGCATTCATTTTAAGAGTTGTTAAAAGTATTAAATGAGGCCAAGCTCAGTGGCTTAGGAAGGGAGTTTGGGAGGATTGTGGTTTGAGGCCAACCCTGGCAAAAAGTCAGAAGACCCTATCTCTGTCAACAGCTGTGTGTGGGATGGTCTGTCTTTCATCCCAGCTATGTGGGAGGTGGAGTTGGGGAACGGGAGATAACAAGACACCTCATGTAAGTAGGGATTGTAGTCCAGGTTAGCCTGGGATAGAAGACTCCATCTGAGAAATGGCAGAAGCAAAACCGATGGGGTAGATACAGACAAGAATTCAAAGAATAGAAAGGAAAGGGGAAGAGGTACTAAGTGATTCAGAACAAATGAACCTTTGACTTAATTGCATTTTTTTTTGGGGGGGAGTTAGTCATGGGGCTTGAACTCTGGACCTCAGCTCTTCAGCTCAAGGCAAGCACTCTACCACTTGAGCCACAGTACCACTTCTGGCTTTTTCTGTTTATGAGGTGCTGAGAAAGCGAACTCAGAGCCTCATGCATGCAAGGCAAGCACTCTACCACTGAGCCACCTTCCCAGCCCCTAATTGCATAATTTTAAAACATGGTTTGAGCTGGAGGCATGGCTCAAGTGGTAGAGTACCTGCTAAACAAGTGAAAGACACTGAGTTGAAACCTCAGAATCACACTCCCCTTCCCAAAATAGAGAGCACATGATTTGGATAATTCTATATCCTAATGCAAGAATTTTTTGTCTAGAGGCTGGGAAGATGGCTCAGTGGTAGAGCGCTTGCATTGCATGCCTGAGGCCCTGGGTTCGATTCCTCAGCACCACATAAGCAAAAAGAAAAAAGCTGGAAGTGGCGCTGTGGCTCAAGTGGTAGAGTGCTAGCCTTGAGCTGAAGAGCTGAGGGACAGCGCCCAGGCCCAGAGTTCAGGCTCCACAACCGGACCCCCCCACAAAAAAAGAATTTGTTGTCTATCCCTCCTTTCTTTCCTTCCGCCCTCCCTCCCCTCTTTACTTCTTCCTTTTCCCTTCCTTCTTTCCTTTCCTTTTCCCTTCCCTTCCTCCCTTCTCTTTTCCTCTCTTCCCCCTCCTTCTTTCCACTCCTCCTCCCTCAGCTTGAACCCACACCCTTGCACTTGAAGTGCTATACCAATTGCACTATGACCCTGGCCCTTTGTATTTTGTTTTTGATTTTGTCAGGACTAGTCTAGCAATCATCCTAGTAATGCCTCTTAAGGAGCTGAGATTACAGGCATTCTGTTAGACCCTGCTTCTACTTTATGTAGTTATATTCTTTATTAAACATTAGCTAAGGGGATAGTTTGCGTTTCTCCTTCAGGGATGGAATGGATGGTACTCACATGACTGTATTTATTGGTGATGTGCAGGGATGTGAGATGAATTCAAGTTTCACAGGGAAATTCCTTGGTGGTGGTGGGGACCTAAATGCTGAATTCCTCCTATGCAAAATACAGTAAACTTTGGGTAGAGATTCTGTGTTGCCAAGTGTTACCAGTAGAGGGCAGCATTGGATGTGCTCGCCTTTCTAGGATAACTATATCTTGAGGCTTGAACTCAGGGCCTTGCACTGTCCCTTAGCTTTTTCAAAACTCAAGGCTGATGCTCTACCACTTGAGCCACAGCTCCACTTCCAGTTTTTTGGGTGGTTAATTGGAGTTTTGAGTCTAATGGACTTTCCTGCCGAGGCTGTCTTTGAGCCATAATCCTTAGATAGGAGTCTCCTGAGTGGCTTGGATTACAGGTGTGAGTCTCGGGTGCTCAGCTGGCATCTAGTCTTGATCCCAGTGAGCGTCATCCTCCCTGTTCCCAATTTCCTATCTTTATTACAGCAGCCGTTCCCAAACGTTTTCATCAAACTCTTTTTTTTTTTTTAATTTCTGTCTTGTTTGGTTTTGTTTGTGAGATAACTAGAGATATATAGTCTGTAGCCTGGTTTGTCCTTGATTTAAGATCCTCCTGTCTGGGCCTCTGGAATGCTAATGTTTACAGATGTGTACCACCATGCTAGCTTTTCTTCAACATTCTTAAACTGTACTATGATCCCAATGTTTTCCTACTTCTGTGAATTATAGGTCTTGTATTAAAAATTAAACTGTGGCTCACACCTGTAATCCTTGACTTAAAGCCAGCGGGGGGAAGGGGGGAAAGGGGGGTGGGAAAATTGTGAAACCTCTATCTCAAGCAATAAAAGCTGAATGTGGTTATGTGCACTGTCATTTGAGCTACATGGAAAACATGAATAGGAGTATCACAGTCCAGGCTAGTTTAGGAATAAAGGGGAGTCACTATTCAAAAAAATAACTGAGGTAGAGTGCTAGCCTTGAGCTAAAGAAGCTCAGGGACAGTGCCCAGGCCCTGAGTTCAAGCCTCAGGTCTGACAAAAACAAAACAAAAATGAAAGGGTGAGTGTTGTGACTCAAGTACTGCAGAACTAGGCTGAGTTCAAGCCCTATCACTTACCAAAAAAAAAGAGGATGGGAGCAAAGATAGAAAATGTAAACATCTTTTTCAGCCTTCAATTTTAATTCTGGGGCTGGGAATGTGGCTTATTAGTAGAGCGCTTGCCGAGCATGCGTGAAGCCCTGGGTTCCTTTCCTCAGTACCACACAAACAGAAAAAGCCGCAAGTGGAGCTATGGCTCAAGTGGTAGAGTGCCAGCCTTGAGCAAAAGAAGCTCAGAGACAGTGCCCAAGCCCTGAGTTCAAGCCCCAGGACTGGCAAAACAAAACAAAAACAAAACACAAAAAACAAAAAACTAGTTCCTCGAACTTCTGTGTTGTCATTCGAGGACAGCAGAATATAAGAAAGTGAGGAGGCTGGGAAGGTGGCTCAGTGGTAGAGCGCTTGCCTTGCATGCCTGAGGCCCTGGGTTCGATTCCTCAGCACCACATAAGCAAAAAGAAAAA